CCGATTTCTCCGTGAGACTGCCCAAAGGCACCAACTGTCAGGACCTTTCAAGGGACAGACCCGCCGGCTAGGGGATCCCTTTTTCCTTTGATTTCATCCCAACTCCGTTTTTTCCCACCCTGGGAAACTTGTCTCCGTGAAGGCCCTGCCCTGTGCCCCGCACAGGACTCTCTCCAGGAAAGCTGCTAGGGGCAGCAAGCTGTCATGCATGCGCACATAGGTGCATACGTATGGGAGACGGAAACCTGAAGCAGTTGCAGCTGGAGGCTGTTTTCTGTTTGAGGCTGAAACCTATTCCTGGGGTGCAGTCGGCCACCTCCAATTCAAGTTTCCACTTGCGAAAGTGACCATCCATCTAGCTAGGAGGTGATGTGACACTGCTTCTGGAAGTGCTCACCCTCGCTCTGTCTGATTGGGTAACAGGGCAGGGGAATGGAGAAAGAAGGGATTGGTTCAGAAGCAGAAGCATTTTGGTTCAGTCTCCTGGTAGGCTCCAAAACCAGGGAAGAGTGTCCTTTCAAGCACCTGGAAGCCCTAGCACTGTCCTAAGGGTCTCCTGCCTGCTAGTCTTCACACAGTAGCCTGAAGCCCATTCTCACTGCTGGTTCCAAAACTCTATCTGAAGACTCAAATTTAACAAGCATTGTCTTAATCTCCCCTCTCTCCCTGTGGTCTGGAAGGACTTTTTTTTTAAAGCATACACAAGAGATTAATTACTGAAGAGATCTAATTGGTCGGGGATGGGTGTGTGTATGTATGTTGGGGTTTTTTTTCCCCTCAAGGAAGAAATGTCAGCGTAAAAGTCTCCACTTGGGTGGTCAGAGCAATGGCTGCCCCCAGTCTGCCTCATAGCTGATGCCTGCTTGCTACATTCCTGGCAATAATGTTGTTCCTAATCAATCTGCCCTTATTTACATTTGTAAGCACTGCCGACTGTGATATGCATGCCCTGACTGTGCAACTGCTCCTCCGCACCAAGGGCTACCTCCATCTTCAGCAACTCGGAGGGATCTCCCAGATTTCTTATCTAGGACAGGCTATGTGGTGAAGGCCTTGGAAATTGTCTCGTTTTATACAGGGGCTGCAATCTACAACTATACATACCTGTAGCTTTCAATGCCTAGACAGCTGAGGCTGGTGTACAAGAATTTCAGCACTGACTGTAGTCGTAGTGGCTTCATTTATAATGCTCTGTCTCTTAGTTACATTCACTTTGTGTTCATAACCCCTGATACTGCAGAGCACTTCTCCAGCCAGGTAAGGGATCAATCCAATAGAGGTTAACAGTCGGTAACAGAATTTACAGTGATGTTACTTTAACACATCTTTTCCAGGTTGCTTTTCATCTGCAGACACCCACCAAAAACATTTGCACTGCTGGAGCATCTGATTACCCTAATAAAGACAGAAATTAAGCACAGCCACTTGGGTTTCTTTTGTACGGTTTACAGGAGTGCTGGTCCTGGGAGAAGACCGACTGGTGGAAAAATAATCAGATTTTTTCTATTCCCTATTTTTTCTATTTCTGTCCCTCATGCAGCTTTGCATCGCACAAATGCACAGGTCTGCCCTGGCTCTGTGCTCCGCCCGCACACCTGATTCTGGCTATGACACAAGATCACAGTCGCTGGGGTCTGCAGGGCGGCCTGAGCCTCCCTCTCCTTTTCCAGCACTCGGAGAGCCGTGCTGGCCAGCGGGCCGGCGGGGGCTGCCGTCGGGGGGCGGCGGCGCGCAGCGGGAGCCGCTCCGCAGGGCAGCGCCGCCGCTCAGCGCCCGCGCCTGGGCAAGGAGGCGGGCGGCCTCTCCCCCTCCTCAGCCCTGGAAGAAAGGGAACTGCTCGAGCCAACTTGTCAAAATAATGCGGCTAATTACCCCTGATCTCCTTTAATGGAAAGCTGCTCTGCACGCCACAAAGGAGCAAATGAGGGATCTACAGCACCAACCCAGGAGCGCTGGCATTTTCTTCTGCGGAGGGCTGCGGGGAAATGTGCCTCCAGAGGAGTGTCCGAAGCTTCTGAGCTCCTCCCGCACAGCAGCGGACTCCCAGAGGAGAAGAGCGCACGGGGAGCTGCAGAAGACAGTGGAAGGAGGAACAGCCCCCTCCGTCCAAAACCACGAGGACATCCCAGCCCTAGGACACTTTGTCATATTCCACGAGGGGCTTTACCTCTATAAACCCAAGTAGTCTTCAAATCAGATTCTCTTCCTGGCAAAATGCCCCGCCACTTGCAGGACATTAATGTGCATTGAGAGGGGAAAGTTACACTGAACCTTTTTTAGCCAGGCTGCACAACACTGGGTCTGTGTAAAGATAGAGCTCAAGTTTTGCATGTGCCAGAAAGCAGGGCATTCACTTCCATGATCTCTGCCATCGGGCCTTGAAGAAAAAAAAGCTGAACGACACAATCTCTTTGACCCACTGCTGGAGCAACAAATTTATTAGAGATATAGGCGTGAGAAATGAAAAGGAAGTAAAACAATTCAGGCTCATTGTATGTCTTTCTTTCATACTGCTAATCCGGTTTACACATCACGCCTACATGTCTCAATAGGGCTTTATACACTGTGGCAAAGGCAGAACAAAATAAAAGGTGTGTGTGTGAGTGTGTGCGTGCGTGTGCATGTGTGTGTGAAATAAGGATAAA